CACTGTGAGACTGCTACCTACAGATAAAAATTAAAAGTGTAACTCAAGTATCTGCAGCTGGAATCACAAGAAATTGATGAAACAATACAGGTATCCAACTAAACATAAGAAAATAAGCAAAACCTCTTCTCCCTCCTGCAAAATGTGTGTTATGCCCATACTAATCAAGTTATTGCCTGCAGCGAACAAAACATATCGTGTCTGAATTCTGTGCTTCATCATGCTGGAAATGCTATGCTCGATTCATTAAACTTTCATGAAGACAAAACAAAACTAAAAACCCAACAATTGAAAAAAAAACCAAACCCCCAAATACCAACCCCACCAGCCTCTGAAGGCTGGTTGTTTGGTTTGGGTTGCTGTTTTTTGTCTTTTACAAAATGAAGCAGCTGTGGGAAGCTATGTGATGACCAGGAAGACAGGCAGACAGTGGAACTGGGACTGAGGAAATCTCCCGTGAGTGTCCAAATATCCCTGGAGAACCAAGTTTGGGGCTGTTGGTCTCCAGCATTCTGACTTGAAGCCAAGAGGTGCTGGAGCCCCGAAGCCCTGATACTCTGTGTACTTATAGTCTTGAGGTTTCCATCCTACCCCTGCTGTGGCTTCAGCATCAATATATTGAAAATGGGAAGTCTTGTGTCTGAGTATCTTACTAAGTTTGCCTTCCAAACTGTTTCAAGTTTTTCCCATTTAAATTCCAAAATTCCTATGGGCTGTATAAGTCTTCTTGCAAGGCCAGGTGACGTAGACTGGTGAAGGAGCAGCTATCCTGTGACTCTGTTCCACCTTTCCACAGATGACTGAATGGTGAAGACGCAATATGTGTTTCGGTATGGAAATTGTTGGTAGGCATTAAAGTTTATCCTTTAGAGAGGCAGGCATGGTGGTAGGCATTAAAGGTTCTCCTTTAGTGGTTCTCTCTCCAAGTAAACCACTCTATATTCCCAAAATACTACTTTTTCTCTATATTCATTTCATTTCACATCACTAAGAAAAGTGCTGCCCAGTCTAGGTGAGAAATGCTTTTCTGTTCAGGTCTTCCGGGGCTTTGAGTGATATCATTATTGAGCTAATGGCTACCCAGCATCAAATCCAGCTTTCACACTTTAATGAATGTTCCCAAAAACAAGGGACATAATGTGGTTTTAAATCTCACAAAATACTGGTTTTATGTTTCCTACCCTTTCCTCCTTGTTCCCTTTCTTTCTCTTTGTCTCTTATTTCCTTGGGTTGTAGCCATTTTGAATGGAGGCCATCTTCCCTTTTGGCTTGAGAACTGGACTGGAAATATTTGAACCTCAAATCCAGCTCCAGTACATTTTAAATGTTTTATCATTGAAATCCAATCCATGTAAGTAAAAGAAAAAATGCCCACATGAAAGTGAAATTAACTGAATGTATCCCTCTCTCAGTAAACAAAATAAGATAGGAAATAGATAAAGGAGAGAAATGTAAGGAATATTAACTGGAGGTACTTTACATCTCCCTCAGGCCAGCCTGGCAAATGTCTTTTTAATCTGTGTTTGATGAGAACACTTGCAACTTCAAGTATTTTAAGAGCCAGGAGGCTGAGCTCCATTGTGCAGGGTCATGCTGGCATGAATTTCTAGAACCGAGCTGCCTATCCAAGGCATAGAAGAGGAGTTACTACATTTCTGCTGGGAAAGTGGCTCAGGTGATTGAGGAGGGCATTTTCCCTGCTTTGTTCTGGCCGACCATTTTTTCTTGCCCTTTACGTTTGCTCCCTGGGCATTAGGTCACATTGGCTTCCTTAGCCTAGCTCCACCCCGAGTCTTGATGACTGCATTCAGAGTTTGTAGTTTTTCCCCTTTCCTGCCAACCTTTGCAATTCGTTTCTCCTTCAATAGCTGCTTGCTCTCACTGAGCTAACTCTAGGGTCTTAAGTTCTACTCACTGACAGATCTACCTCTGTTGCTGGGTCAGAATGACCTATTAATGAACCAAATTACCCTTCTGAAATTTATTCTTTCTGTTGTTCCTCCTGCTTCCCTCCAAGACAGCACTTTGCCTTATGTACCGTCTGTTAGGATTCTGAGTCAGAATAGGAAAATTGTCAGCCTGATCCAGGATTTTCTTTCTTAGCTAGATACGGTGATTTCCTGTGCAGTCATGGTGGTCTTCTGATGATCATCTTCTATAGAAAAGGGATGGGGATGGGAGAGGTAAGATGATTTGGAGGGTTCCAGAAGAAGGGTTCATGTCTCTTGTATTTTGCAGGGATTTCTTGATTCTTTACAGGGTGAGATTTGATTAATGGTATAGGTAGAGCAGGACACGTAAGCCTCCTCAGTTCCTCCCACTCCTTTCACTCTCTCAGTGAAGGAGCACACTTGCTGAAGACTAACTTCAGGAAAAGGTGTTGAAGAGCTTGACTGCTGCTTTGCATTCTGGAGAAGGTGTCTCTTTCCCCACTGAATATTCATGCTTTCTACCTGCCCATCTGACCTGGGGGTCAGAACCCGGCATTTTGCCTCCTAACAAAGACAAACCCTAGCTGTTCCAAAAGGAAGAATAATCCATCCTCCATGTGCTATTTTCCAGTCAGGTGTGTTTGGGTCTGCCTCTGGTGATCACATTATGCCTGGAACCCTGAGCAGTTTCCTTGTTACTATGTTACCTGAGTGATGACTTCTAATGTGATGACTTCTAATGTTCTTCTGGCTTAATCTACCCTCCTGAGTCACAATAAAGTAAAGCAGGGTGTGGATGCACTTTTTTCCTGCTGGATCTTCCATCCTTTCAAACTCCCTTCCTAGGCTTTTATCTTGAAAATAATACCATGCTATCAGGATGCAAAATTACATGACTGGAAGTTGCATATTCTTATTGCCCCATTGAAGAGTGCTCTTTATGTCCCTGATACTGCCAGTGTCCAAGGCAGTTTCTAGAAGCTGCTAAGTGTCAGCATCCGGTCCTCTGGGTGGTTTTAGTCAATAGGAACATTCTTTTGATGAAATGGATGTCTTGAACTATATTGGTTGAGATCATCATTCAGTTTTGTGCATAGCTTCTGGGAAGAGTTTTTGCTGCTTGTGTGATCTGCCACCAGACTCCAGAAAGAGCAGTATGGATTAGAAAACCAAGTTAGTTGCACTTTATTAAAAGAAAGAAAAAGGGAAGAAAAAAAAAAAAAAAGGCTAAGATCATTAAGCACTTCAATAAAACAATCAAAATTTTTCTAAGAATTTAGCTGAGCCCAGCCAGCTCATTTCAGATGTGTATTCTGGCCTCTTTGGTGGTTCCTCCAAACCTGGCATTTTTGATTCCCTGTCTGCCCCTCCTTTCCCTCCCACGTGCTTGACCTCCAACAGCATTCCTTCGCTTGTCTTAAGACCTTACATGTCGTTTCACTCTCCCTCTCCCCCCAAGAATGTAATCCTGGCCTGAGCTTTCTAATTGTGTGTAGCAAGGATAAAACTCCTTGCCTCGCTTGGCTGCCCCCTCGTTTGGAAACTCACCCTAAACATTTCCACATGGTTTGCACTCTTTTTGCACAGCTAATTTTTTTTTTTTTCTTTTTGCCTTTAAACTTTTCCTTGTTTAAAAAGCCCTCCAGCTTCTTCTACCTTGAGCTGCTGGCACTGACCTCGCCTTGTTACTGTTTGCATTTCTTTTGTACCTTTTTGCAGCTGAAATCTCTATGGGCTTTTAAATCTGTCAGCAGCCGCTACCAGGCTCAGTGTGCAATTTAGCTCACTGTTTTCACAAGTTTCCCAGAGCTGAACGCTTTCCAAATGAGCCATTGTTGGGCTGAGTTAAAGAGGTATTGTCTCTGCTTGGGCTAGGTTAGTGTGGGTGCCAGAATCTGCATGTGCAGCGTTCTTAGTGCTGCAATGTCATCTTGATATTGGACCCCTGGACACTTCCTTCTCCAAACACTTTCAAATATATAGGAAAAAGAAAACCTTGCCCAAACTGATTCATTGAAATGTTATTGGAAGCTTGTCTTTATATTGCTGAAACTCTCATTTACGCATCTTCGTCTGTCCCTGCTGATGCAGGCTGCTTACTATGAAGACCATTCTTGTTTGTTTAATTCCCACCTGAAACTGGCAGCTGTGATTGGAGTCCTGTTTTGGGTCAGTGCTGAATAAACACAGAGCCAGTAGCAGTCTCTGCTTTGATGATTTTAGAAACACGTTGTATAGGAAGAGAGCCTTTTGTTATCCACCTTTTACAGACAGAAACCAAAGCTGGGGAATTTGATGGTGTATCCAGAGGGAACTTGTGACAGAGTTGTGAGTCAGTTCCAGATCACAGCATTATCCTTCATTTTACAATGTAAGGTTGCCCAGGGTACAAAAGGGTGTGTTCCGCTGAACTCACTTTTCTTAGCAGAGATTGAATTTGCTGCTCTGTTCAACCTGATGTGACACTGTGTGGAGATAAGTCCTTTGTCTGAAATGCTGGTTGTCTTTTGCTGGGGACTGTGTGGTTCAGAGGACAAACATCTGGACAAACATTTCAACCTGTAGGTTGCTGTTGACATTACTGCCACTAGATAACTGTTTTGTTACCTTTGTTTAAAAGATACAGTGATTTCACTGTTCTTCTATTGAAGACCAAGCTGGTACTGCAGGCCAGAAAAAAGTTGTATTGAATTTTTAGCCTTTCTCTAAGAGTTGTAAGGAGTGTCTGCGTCACATAAGCCAGTGCTTTGAGTTTTTCACTTCATGCCTTTCTTGTGATCTTTCCCATCTTTGACTAATCATTGGTAATGGAAGTTTGACATGGGAGTTGTTCAGACTACTTGTCTTCATAGGTCATGCTCTGATAGGGAAAAACTCACATTAGCAATGTAAAATTATGAAACCAATAATCTTTGGAGTCTTTAGGAGCCACTAAGTCCTCTGCCTTTTGATTGAAAGCTAGTCAACATACCTGGTCCAGATTCCTCTCATCTTATTAGAAGTTACCAATATAGCTGTTGACTGTTTTGTTTTGTTTTTTTTTCTGTTGTTCTTCTTCATAATCTCCAGGATGAATTGGATCTCACGGACAAGAACAGAGAGGCGATGTTTGCACTCCCTCCAGAGAAGAAATGGCAGATTTACTGCAGCAAAAAGAAGGTACTACTGTTGTCCTGATTGAAGTAGCTCACTAATACAATCTGTGTACATTTACATAGTTACTGATATACATCTAGATTTGAACTATGTGTTTATCTGTTTACTCAAGAACATGATTAAGTGATGTAAGGATTTTTATCAGCATAAAAATGGCACAACTTTCATGTAAGTAGCGTATGCATGTGTGATTTCTGTAGAGAATGTTAGCAAGTTAAAATCATACGTTGTCTCATTTTGAATCTTTTACATGTTTGGGCTTGGTTTGTGTTATTTTCTTTGAGCTGGAAGAAAAGCTATCATGGAAATGTTTTAAGGAATTTTTAAAAACTTTTTAAAGTTGCTTAGAATAGAAAATGTATTACCAAAATCTTTCAGAATGTCTTCAAATATCTGTAAAGTACATAATAATAGTGATGTCTTAAAACTTGGTAGTCCAAGGTCTTCCAGAGCTTGTAGGAAGTGTTCTGTATTGCACCGAAAAGTGAAGAAGACCAGCTCCTGTTAATTTCTGTGTAACACTTCTCCATTCCAGGTGTTCAAATTTCTACAAACCAGTGAGAGGGGCAGTAAATCAGAGGCTGATGTATCACACTGGATATTTTGTTTGGTTAGTTTTATTTCCCAAATGTGCAAGTCATGCTATGAGAGCATCAGTCTTTATAAGTAAGTCCACATAACAGAAGCTGAAAGAGGAGGTTTAGATTTCAATCCTGAAGATGGCAGATTGGCGCCCTGATGACGGTCCTTCTGAGGCTGCATTTGCTGCCTTTCTTACCATGTAATTAAAGAAAAATTCAGTCGAACCAATCAGATGGGTGCTTTGCATGTGTGTTGCTTTTGGTTGAAATGCATCACACAGGAAAGTTAATAGAAACAAATTAGTTCCAGTGCCTCTGAGCTAGCAAAAATTCAGGAAGTGCGCAAGAGCAGTCTAGGCTCAGCTGTCTGGTGTTCTCTCCATTCTTCTTCCGGCTGGTATACAGAGCTTGCCAGTGGAGGGAAGGTGCAGGCTGCTGTGAATGATGTCTGCTTTACATTTTTGCTGGCCGGCTCAGCTGGCTTTTTCAGCTCTGGTGGGAGAGGATCTATTTGTAGCCGTCTCAGAGAACCACACATTCCACCTCCCGGACCAGTCTGCCTTGGCAGGAAGATTCAGGCTTTAATGTATTTAATATGTTGGTTGGATTCACTATGTTACAGTATATTTTTTTTGTTGTTTGGGTTTGGGTTTTGTTTTTTGTTTTTTTTTTTTGTTAAAGCAGTGGATTTGGTATAAGAATCTTGAAGACCTCCAGAGTCAAAGAAGCTGCATGCTGAAAAATCTTTATAATGCATTTATAGTGCAACCTCAGTTAGCTGAACTCCAGCTATCCAAAATGATGTGCTAACTGGAACAGGATACTGTTGCCAGATGTCTATTCGTTACATTGTAGATACTTTCAATTACTTGAAACCTTAACTGTCCAGTATTATTCATTGTTTCCCTCACAGGCAGTCAGATGGTCGGTGATGACATCTCTCTCTCTCTCTTTAGCCTACTATCTAATCCACCTATCATCATTGTTTTACAGTGACAGAGAAGCTTGTTGTAGGCTTCCCTTTAGAGGAAAGCTGTCTTTTCCCTGAAGACTTCGTAATCTAATTTTAGCCACATAGGGCCCAATTCCTCAGTTGGCAGAATGTGGTCAGCCATCCAGGACAAGCCCCCAGAGAGCTCTGTCTTGCATATATTGGGTTCTTTGAGTTTCCTGGGAAGCAAGGGCTCTACGCTTTGTAATGTGGCAAGTGAAAACACTGTGAACTAGAAGGTCAAGAAGTGCAGGTTGAGGCAACTGTTCACAGTCATTAATCTTGGATGCCTTTTCTTGTCTCTAAGTAAGAGAAGGTCAGAGCTTCCTGATTTGCTCCAAAGGTGGCGAGATTAGCGGACTGTCTTAAGTAAACAAATGTCATTTGCAGAAATGAAGACCGGTCATTTTTGTAGGCACATTTTCTATTTATTTTGGCAGTTAGACTTTGGATATAATCTTCCATGGTACTTGTTCCAAATGTGGTAGCAGAAAGTCAGTATTGTATCAAAAAAACTCATTCCACCTGTTTCTGATGCCAAGCCTTTCTGAAGGAGTTGGGGAAGACATGTATTTAAAGTTATATGCCAGGGGCACAGCTTGCCAGTCAACATCCCATGGTACTCAAAGGAGATTCAGTTCTGGATTGAAATTTCATGATTGTGGGTGATATCTACAGAGGAGCATTCACACAGTATTATACAGCCATGCTTGTGTTGGTCATTTTTGGCCATTCTAGGTTCATATCTGAAACCACCAGTACTAAAACCAAATCACCAATTATTTGATCTAAAGGAGTAGCTTCAGCTAGCAGCTATAGCAAATGCTTCACTCTCGTTTGTGGGGTAGCTATTTGCAAGGAATAAAGGCTACTCTACTGGAAAATGTTAATGTGTTCTCAGTCTCAGCTGTCCTCTCCCTTGCCATTAGTCAGTACAGAGTGGACAATAAGAGATGCAGTTATCTTAATTTGCATCAGAAGAATCATTAATCAGTCACTGCTGATGGCACCCTGACCCTCTACCAAAAGCAGCAGTACTACATGGTTTAGATCACCACTTTCTCTGTAGTATGAACTTCCCCTGATACCATATTGAGTTATAAGTAAAGCTGTATGTAGACAGAATGCAAATGATGATATCCTCCCCGAGTTCAGGTACTTTATTCTGGTTTTGTTTAGGATAACCTTCATGTCTCACCAGCTGCTGAAATTCAGACTTGCATAAAACATGTAATACACTTCTGTAATTCCTTCCTGTAAAATTAAGTCTAGATTTCCTACTAGTTATATGTTTTGCAGGAATTGGATCAAGCACTAGACCATGGTTTCAGATGTATTTATTTGTAAATTTGTGATGTCAAAGTTTAGAAAAATGCTGTTTTACCAGGAGCTGGTACTAAAGTACATAATCTCATTAAATACTGATCAAATAATGATATGAAAAGAAAGAGTTGTCAGCTCAATTATTTCACATGTAAATGAGCTCCTATTTGGATCCAAAAAGGGCAGAAAAGGCAGGTATTACACTGCTTCAGCACACATTGCTTTGGATGCAGTCTGGGTTTCTAAGAATGAGGCCTCAGTGTACAGGCAATAGCTTATTGCCTCCTGTGCAATCCTACAAGTTCTTAGACTTATTGCTATTGGAAAGCAAGTCATGTTGTTTTCTTTTTATGGCCTTTCCTGCCTCCAGAGACTGATTTGTAAGCCTTCAGTTGAGCAGATTTTAGTAGGAAGCACACACGTTTTGCAGAGTTAAACAAGTTGGGGTTTTTTTTACTTCTGTGTTTCTTTGAGGGAAAAATTGGTGGCAAATCTCCTTCCAAAGTACAGTCAAACTGGACCAGCTGTATCATACAGCTTCTCTCAAAACAAACAAAACCAACAAAAAGCTTAATCCTAATAACTATGTTGAGCTCTCCTAGATATTTTGGGGTTATTTTGTACTCTTCTGATTTTAGTTGTACCCTAGAATACCTGCTTTAAGTTGATTGTGCTTTGTCTACTCAAGTGAAATTATTCAAACTCAAGTAGTGAAGCAATAATCAGCACACTGCAACTTTCTGGAAAGAGGCATTTATGGCATCTGAAAAAAAGAGTACATGCTTATAATCCTTAAATTGACTATATTTTTTTCTATTATGAGAAACAGATCTAGAGAAAGGCTTCTCCACAATAGCAAAATAGGCTTTAAAAATTCTGAGGAAAATGTATCTGAACCATATGCTGTAACAGCCAATATGCAGAAAAGATAATTTGCTTATGATTCCATCTCCTGCAATTATTTTTTTTAATATTTGTCAATTATATTTTTCATCTACCTGATGAATAAAAAAATAGTAAACTGAATATGAGAATAGGAGCCAGGAAACTCCTTGGTTCTAAAAGTCTTTGATCTAAATTGTTGTATAACTTAAAAGAACTTGTCATTATTATGTTTACATACAAATGCATTTCTCTCTACCTGAAAGAAAGAGTAGCTAAGTTAGGAAACTTTGTGCAATTTTCTGGCTGTGCCATCCTCTCACACCTTTTCCCTGCACTATATACACATACCTTGGCTGCATACAACATTTCTTTTCCGCCTTTTCCTTCTTAAAAATCTTCATTCCTTTTTCTTGCTGCACCTTTCTGTCTTCTAAGGTATTCTTGTAGGAATGGATGTTGTGGTGAAGTCTCCAGACCTGGGAGAGCTCACTGCAAGGAGCAGGAAGGATGGAGTAGAAGGCACTTTTGTGTATTATACAATCACTAAGGAGTCCAGGTCCTTTGAACGGAGGTCACAGGTCAATGCTGAAACCAGTGAAGCTGCAGAGTGCCCCAGATGCCCCTCTAGAGAAGGTTTACAGCTCTCCCACAAAGAAGCAGCAGATACCACTGGATCACCTTGTGTTCGGTTTCCTTTTCCTCACGTGAAGGCTGCATCCAACCCTACATCAGGCTTCAGAATGCCCTGGGGAATCCTAGCCTTAGTCAGACTTTAACTTTTAGTAGTTTTACTGCAGTCTTTTTATATCATTTGCAGCTCAATTTCACAAACTCCCACTTTGGTCCCATGCTGGCTGTCTAATTTTAATGAAGATAATGTCTACATGTCAGGTTTTGTTTTTTTTTTTTTCTTTCTTTGAGAATTTGTCTTTGAGCTTTACCCTTGAGGTTTGCATTGTCAGCAGAATGTCACCATAAAAAGCAGAGCTTGATATTGTGCAGCTGGATATAGAGTGAGATACTTCTGTCCTCCACCCCCATGCCCATGCCTGCCTTCAGACTATTGCAGAGCTATAAGCAAAATTTCTAAACCAAACCCAGGCTGTATTACTGCTATAAACCCTGCTTGAAACCCAGCTACAGTTCCAGCTTCTAGAGGGTGCAATTCACCATATAGCTTGGATTTATCGTCCTGTTAAAACTATAAATATAAAAAATAATTT